TATCAGTATTACTTTGCTGCTGAAGTCTGAGACTTTCCTGAAGTTCATCAAAACAAAAACACCAATATAATCTGAACAAAATTATTTTCAAACCTTTTCAAAACTTTCTATAAAGATTGCATTCAAAAATTCCTTGATCATTTAAGTATCATATTTCCACTCTATTTCAGTGTCAAGTCTTTTAAAGTTAATAAGCACAATTTATTTCTTGTGCAATTAACTTCAAATATTTCCAAGGGAACTCACTATTTCAGTAATGTGAGCAAGTTGGACAAATTGAACCTATAAAAAATCAACAAATTTGCCTTAAAGCTTCCAAAAACTTTCCTAGAAAATTACATCTCTAACATGCAGGCTATACCAAGTGCCTAGAGCATATAAACATTGTATCATCTTTTCATGATTCTGAAAAACAGATCTAATAATTAGCTCTCCCAGTTTTTACATGCTGGGAAGTCAGAGATAACGAAGAGCAAATAATCCAAGTTTCAGTCACAGATGATTACTGTGAGACAGATGTTCAGTGCTTCTGGCATTTTATAGACATAGATGCTTGTGTAGGAGAAAAGTATAATACCACCTTAGCTTACATGTTTATAGTTAGTTTCCTATGGCACAGTTATGGAACATATGTGGTTTAAAAAAATAAAAACCTAGGAGGATCCTCCATCTGCTGAGGTCAAAAGAAAATTATATGCCTTTGCATTAGTCGTGATCAAACTGTATGACATATATCACATTTTATTTCAGAGTGGATAGTTTGATGATCCCTTATGAAAAGGGAAACCAATTTAAGCATGTAGACAGTAACAGGAATAGAAAATTTTCCCTGAATCATCTGCAAGAAGAATCTGCCTCTCCACAGACTGCAGAGTTTGCACAGCAGCTGGGCTGAAGTTACAGGTAGGAAACAACCCACTGCTGTAGAATAAAGTTATTTTCATTCCAGCACAGATTGCCCACATGGGGGAGTACAGCAATTCTGCAATGGCTCTGCTGGTCAGTTTTCCTTGTACAGCTGCAGGTTTTTTATACAAAGTGTCATACAAATTTTGTTTTTCCAACAATTATACTTTGTTGTGTGAATGATTTAATATGTGGTTTAAATTTTGTGTAAAAAAAAAAAAAAACAAACCTACAACATGCTGTTAATGGTAGTAATGCTGTTCTGGCTAAATAGAGTCATAACTTGTGGGGGAAAAGGGCTGTAGAATTGGTATAGAGTTTTGTTTCCTGCTGGACACATTTGCTTGTTATATCCACATGGAAGTCAGTCTGTTCTGGGAGATCTCACTTTAAGGAACCAAAGTGCTACTGTGGCTCTACTGACATCACTGTCATAGATATATCTGATCCTCTTTGCTCCTTAACATTCTCCTCACTGCCAAATAGGCATTCTCCTGCTGCAGAAATCAGAGCATTAGATCACTCAGTAGATTACTGCCACACTAGAAACCTGTCACTATCAAGTTCAAAGCCTTCCTCAGGCTTTTGCACCAAAGGCTAACTCCTCTCCCACCGTAGGCCTTGCCTACAGCCAAGATGGACAGCTTTTCATTTCTTACCTCCCAGATCAGTGTGTGCAGTCAGCTTTGCAACCCAGATGCACTACTCAGGCATTACTGTTAAGCATTTGCTTCCGCTTACTTCAAAAACCCCTATGAGCACTCATTTGAATGTGGACTGGAATTATTAATTTTCTTTGTACTCTAGACACTTTTGAAACATCTATGTTAATATTTCAAGTAATGCTATGTCCTTGTTTTTCTGAGCAATGTCTACCACAACAGGAGGCAAAAGTCTAGGCTGATTTATAAGGCTGGTGACTGAAAAGCACTGACACACAGAAAAAGTTGGAGAACTATGAGTAAAGCACTCACAACTTTCCATCCATTATTATTTTTAACCAAGACAGTTAGGTTTTCTTGTTGAGCAAGTGCTTCTTTATCGAAGGCAGGTGAAAGTATTCAGAACTGGTACAGGACAGAAAATTGTCAAAGCTGAGACAGGAATAAGTCCTGATCATGATGATCTAGCAGTGTAATGAACCCTAATGAAACAAATGCTCAGTCTTCACACTTTGGACAACAAGTTGCCTCTTTTCACAAAATATGTATCCACTTATTATATCATATCTGTTTCTCTGTGGAACTGAACTAGTTGAAATAGGCTGCTCATTTCAGAAGCTGGAGGAGAGTACGCAAGAAAGGCAATGGGGCCTGAAGCAGACATTACCAAAGCTGTATTTCCAGAGAAAATAACAGTTAAAAAAAAAAAAAAGGTGTAAAATCTAGTATAAAATTAAGATGTTCAGGGGACTGGACCATAGACTCAGAGGTTTTCAGGACTCAGATGAACAAAGTCATGAACAAACTGGTCTGATCTGATCTCACAGCTGGCCCTGCTTTGAACAGGTTAGACTAGATGGCCTCCAGTGGGTCCTTCCATTCTGAACTCCTCTATGATTCTATACACATTTCTCCATTTGCTTAAACTTGGCTAAATATCACTCATCTTTATAGATACAAATTAGATGGCATGTTTTTGGTTTTTTTTAAACTGCTGAAATTGCCACGTAGAGGCATAATCTGGGTTCACTTTTCCGGGACCATCTTTTTCTAAGGAATTGACTCCACAGTTCCTGCTTTTGCTGCTAGTCAAATAATGTCCAAACAGTCCGCATGAAATTACCATCTTAGTACTGTAAGTAATAGGCTAATTAACAGCAATAAAACTGTTCAGTCTATCTGCTGCAGCATGGAGCCAGCTGTTTTGTGGAACAGTACAGGACTGCCTCATAGCAGGTTCATCTTTGATTGCAGTGATCTTCATAGGCAAAATAAAAATCAAGAGATTTTTAATCCAAAATTTAATGGAATAGAAATAGGTGTGTTGAGACTGTATGTTTTTCAGCAGTAAATTATACCTTGCCAGTTGTGAAGAGGCAGCCACAAATTCATCTAAATACATGGGAGGGAACACAGTACGACTACATGCCTGGTGTTGCTTCCTGCTAAAGGTTAAAGATACAATTCTTTTAGCTCTTCACAGTGAATTTGTGTCTCAGTGAGCAAAACAGATTTTCTAGCAGTTCCAGATCTCAGTTCTTCAGAAATTACAGAAAAACACAAATGATCTCAAGGTTTGCCTGTTCTTCATAAGAGGTCTGAACTGTACCATAAAACTGAGTTTATCCAAACAGAAATGAGAACACTGTCCACAAAGCAACAGGCTTTTCTCTAACCAAAGCCAACAGAAACACAGTGCTACAGCACTTATTAATGGAAGGAGAATCAAGAAATGCTTGAAAACAATAAATTGGCTAAAGCAATCAAGATCTGTTCATGTTTGCAAATATCCATTACGATAGTATATTTTGTGTCAAAGAACTGGTGTTAATTAAATTTTTGCTAGGAAGAGCAATGACGGTGAGTGGGTAAAGACATTTCTGGAAAAGCTACAGCTGCATTTCCATTTTGCTGGGTGTGCTCCAGCTGCTCCACAGTCTAAAATGCCCCTACTACTGACTTTGTCCTTGTCAATGTGACAGTGAGAGGCTGAGGACGTAGCCACCTGTGACCACAATAAATATAATGGGAGGTGAAAAGCAAACCGACTCCAACTCTTTGCATGTATTGATCTTCCTACTGTTAAGAGAACAAGTATGTCTTTATAGTTACCTTACCACCCCACATCTCCATGTGGTTAAACTATTTTTGATGAAGCCAGGGATATAGGAAGAAAATATTTTATTATGATTTCTACTTCTTATTCTCCTTGAAAAGGATTTTAAAATAGGGTTAAAGAAACAGGAACAAGACATTGACTCCAAAACCAACTGTTTTGACAATTCTTATCTCATTTCTTTGCTGACATGTAATGGGAAAATGATGTGATTCTGTTCAACATCTTCATTAATGCCTTTGATGACGATATAGTGTCTTCTCAGCAAGTTTGCTGATGGCACAAAACTGGGAGGTTTGGCTGATACACCTGAAGGCTGTGTGGCCAATCAGTGAGATTAGGACAGACTGGAGATCTGGGCAAAGGGGAACCTAATGAGGTTCAACAAGTATGAGTGCAGAGTCCTTCACCTGGGCAGGAGTAATAAAATGCACCAGTCCAGGTTAGGAGGAGATCTGCTAGAGAGCAGCTCCCTGGAGAGGGACCTTGGAGTTCTGGTGGATAACAAGTTGTCCATGGGACAGCAGTGTGCCCTTGTGGCCAGGAAGACCAATGGTCTCCTGGGGTGCATTAAGAAAAGTGTGTCCAGCAGAACAAGGGAGGTCCTCCTGCCCCTCTACTCTGCCCTGGTGAGACCTCATCTGGAGTGTTGTGTCCAGTTCTGGGCTCCCCATTTCAAAAGGGACAGAGATCTACTTGAACAAGTCCAGCAGAGGGCTATGAGGATGACTGAGGGATTGGAACACCTGCCTTAGGAGGAAAGGCTTGGGTTGTTTGAGGGGAAGAAAACGAAGGGGGGGGGGGGGGGGAGGGAATCTAATTAATGCATATAAATATATGAGGGCTGGTTTTTCAAGAAGTAAGGGGCAACCTCTTTTCACTCGTACCCTGCGACAGGACAAGGGGCAATGGATACAAGCTGGAGCACAGGAAGATCCCCCTCAACATGAGGAAGAACTTCTTTACTGTAAGGGTTCCAGAGCACTGGAACAGGCTCCCCAGGGAGGTTGTGGGGTCTCCTTCCTTGGAGACTTTTAAGACCCGTCTGGATGTGTTCCTGTGTGACCTGCCCTCGACTAGATGGTCCTGCTCTGGCAGGGGGTTTGGACTTGATGATCTCCAGAATTCTCTTCCAACCCCTAACATTCTGTGATGTGTTGCTAGTGATTGCAACTGAGGTTTATGTTCATGTGAAAGTATGTATATAAGACCTAAACATAATAACCCTTTGTGCTGAATAACCTACAGGCAATGTTTTTGATATCCTTTGAGCACAGCTGCACATCCACACAAAGAAGAAATATCCTTTTCTTTACCTTTGCAGTTTACTGCACCAGCTGCAGTTGAAACCAATCTGGGCAGTGACACAGGGACCACAGCTGGTAAACTGGAGGCAAGCTGGAACATAGATAAATAAACACAAATTATTAAATTAATCTTGCAAATAAATCTCATAAAAAGCACAAGAGAAGGATAGTCTTCAGATAATATATATTTACTAATTCAACAGGTTCACATATGTCCAAAATAAGACAGTAAACCCAGCCTACTACAATGCATTGCACGACTATATACACAAAGGTACATTTTATTTAAAGGATATAATTTGTGTTCAATTTGTAAACATATTCCCACTTCCACATCTAGTCATTCAGTTTAACTGCTAATATTTTTTTATCTTTTTGCTTAACATTAAGTATTTCCTTAAGTCCCTTTCTTCCCTGGCTCCAGTGTTCCTTGGCGTTGCTAACATTTAGGTGTAAGCAGGTAAGATGACTGGCAGAAAAGTGTGCAAGCACTATAATTGGACTAGAAGAAAGTAAAATAGTTGTTTCCATGAAACCAGATATTTCTAAACAATGTAGTTTTACCTTGGATAGAAGAGGCAGATGAACTGCAAAATGTGTTTGGGGATATTCCTTCACAATGTGGTGCACAACACACAGAAGAATTTGTGTTTGTCTTGCAAGCAAGAAAACTGTTCTTTTTTTTTTCTTGAGGAAACAAATTTGAAGGCAATATGATAATTCTTTCAAAAAAAAAAAAAATTGGCACAAATTTCATTCAAAACCTACTGGGAGCTATATACCTATAAACTAGCTTGAAATACACAAGGATGCACTGGATAATGCATCATCCGCCTGGGAATAAATCTGAGAGAGCATAAATGAATCTGTCCATGATCCCAAGGCCACAGATAAAATACTTAAAATTGTGTGTGTATTGCTGGGAGGGGGACCATTCCCAGATCTGGCTCCTAGCCATATTATGTCTTACTTACTTGGGAGAGGTATCATTTCAACAGCTGAGAGATTGGTAATCTTTGACATTTGTAGCTCCACCCTGTGGTACTCATAAATAGTTCTTCTACGGACATCTACCAGGAAAGAAAAATAAAAATATTTTCATGCTTTACTATTTTACATCCTGCAGATTATGAAAAATAGTGGATGTAGTGATTGCTCACTGTTCCTTAGTGTACAATTGGTGCATACATGGTACCATTTTTCTTCAAGAATATATTTTAACTTTTGACATCATGAAAGAACATATGAAAGGTATAGACAGAGAATTTTTCACTTGAAGAACCATCAGAGCCGACAGAATAGGTACCTATTCCCAGTAAAGGATTATGAAAATGCTGAGTGTGCTCTCAAGCATCTTAGTGATTCATTTAAGCAGAAATTCTAGAGAATGTGCTGTCAGACATTTTAGGGTATATTTCAGATGCTTGCTTTCCTAAAACATTCTCAGCTTACAGACTTTAGAGATATGCTTTGTATGCTCACTTTGTCAGTCGTTGTCAAGATGTGCAAACAAAACTGATTTCACTGCTTAATCAGATGTGTTAGCTACAAGCTAGCTCACATCTAAATGCACTAGAACATTTTTTCATATTACAATATTAAAGAAGACAAGACTTCTTAAACAGCCAGTGTCATGCATAATCTTCACACAAGCTGACTGCACCTAAGTTTTTAAATTTGATCTAGTCAGTGCACTGTTTGCATGGACTTTGAATACACAGACAACTGTAAGACCCAAGCACAAGATAAGTGTGAAAAAGATCACATAATTGTTAAGTTTCCAGATCAATAGCCTAACACATATTCTGAATATTCCAGATTTTAAGTGCATAGCTGCAATGCAGAGTGGTGAATTTACAAATTAAAGGCACAGCCTATGCTGCCAATCTGATCATCTAATGATGATTTCCTGGTATGCTGAATTCAAATATATGTCCTTTTTGAAGGCCTCCTAAACTAATTGAAATCAATGCTGAATACAATCACTGACCCTGTGGAATCATTCCAGAGAGGAATAAACATGCCAGAGAAGAGTAAAGGTAAAGGATTAACAGGTTACTCTGGTCAATGGCTAGTCTGAGTCTACATGCAACAGAACAAAATGAAATGCAGACAGCCACAAACACGATCTTAGGTTCTGTATTTCCAGCCATGTATGGATTAGGGCATACCTTGTTGCTTGATATAAAAGTTGTTTCTGTAGCTTGAACTGGGCTCACGTGCTGTTAATCACAGCAGATTATCTGTATATTATTGCATAACACCAAAGCTGAAATTTTTCACAGTCTCTTGTTAGGAGGAATGTTGTAGGTATTTTTCAGAGAGAAAATGAAACCTCAACTAAAACAAATCAAGCAATAAATATTAATTTTTAAGGGAAGAAAGAAAGTACATTAAGGTGTTCTGTGGCTAAAGTGCCTCTTGGCTGAAGCAGATGAGGCTTTCTAAGAAAAAAGGATGGCTGACCTCTAAAAGCACACATATGGGAATCCCCCTTACACCACCAAGAAAACAACCATCAAGCTATTTGTGTCAGTTGGAACAAACAGGGGAATCTCTGAGGAGGGACGAGGAGGCAGAGGTAGAGCTGTGCTGGGTGGGCTAACTCTCTCCTCATCAGGCAGCATCACTATAGGGGGAAGCAGCCTCTCTGCCCTTTCTGATTGCATAAGCTCTGAGGCACAGGCAGGTAGTGTTTGGTGTTCAGATAATAATATTTTTGTTTAACTCCAAATCAGCACCTTTGCCAAGCAGTTCCTCTTGCCCTTTATTTGAAGCTGACTTTGCTATGCCTTCACCCCTCCTGATAGTGGATTTCTCTTTTGCTATGAAATATGTGTATAATCGAGCTAGTTTCATTTTTTACCTGCAAAGTAATTCTGACTAGTTAAAAGACAGATATGGGGATGTGCCAAAAGTTTACCCCAATAAATGCCTTAGCCATGTTCTTCAAACAAAATGGACAGAAAGGGTTTTCAAGACAAAGCTAATCTTCTGCTGGGGTGGGGAAAATCTCTTGCAGCAGTGAAAGGCTAATGCTCCAAGGATGGTTAAGACTCATAAAAGTACCTGCCAGATTGAAGTGATCAGGAAATGTATTTGAAATGAACTCCTGCCAATACTGAAGGCTGTAATTTGTTTCCACAGAAATCTTTATCCTTCTGTCCAAAAAAATGAAAAAATGAATACACAAGTTAAAATGGCAGATGCCAACACTTTAATTGAACTCTATTTGTTCTCATCAGTAGCGGTACAATCTGGTATATTATCATCCTGTTTAATCAGAACCTTTCTAGCAGACTCCTCACAGGGTTTACAAGAAACAAGGAGCTTCTGGCATCTAGTAAAAATCAATGACTCAGGTCATAGGTGCTTTTATCTCACCCCGTGCATGACATTTTTTAAAAAAACAAACCACTCATTTTAAGAGAATTAAGATTGTTATTAAAAAATAACTTCTAACCATGCATATTTCAGCATGACTGTTGATCCCCTTAAATCCCACTGCCTAGTAGATTTAGGTTTAATCTTGCTCAGGAAGAAGACCACCAATTACAAGTGGTGAATTTGCATACAAGGGATCCACCTACTGTAAGATACCTAAGCATAGAGAGATTTTTGCATAGTCACCTTCTACCAGCTTTGTATACACTTGCAGGCAGATAGTTGGAACCACAAGCATCCAAATTTATCTGCCTGGCCAGGTTGTAAAAACATGCAGATGTACATTATTTTGTGAGTCTGACTTGAAACATGCTGTGCTTAGCTCCTCAAAATGCACCTTTTCCTCCTGTTTAGAATGCTGAGACTGTATCCCCTTAATAAAACAAGGTAGAAAAGCTAAACTCAATAGGATGAACAGTAATATAAATACTCTCCCCTGACGCTTTCCTCATCAGCCTCTCCACACACATTACTGCTCCAGTCCAAGACACACACTGCCTTCCACTCAGATGGAACTCGTTCCTTGTTGTCTTATACTGTCTACTTAGCTCTATTACAAAGAAGCATAAGTGCAGAATCATGAAGATATTATGAACATCAATATGCACCTAAACTTGTCAAGAACTAGTGAAATCGTGTGATATCAGCATCATATGCAGGTATTTTTTTGAGAAGAGTTATCGCATCAGATCTAAGAGGAAAGGGAGGAAAGCAAAAGGACTATTCACATGCATATGTAGTTTTGAAGGGCTATTCCTGGTTCTGAATTTTTGAAAATATGTATACATTCTTCTCCTAGTTATGAAAATATTTTACTTTCCTGTAGGTCTGAGTACCTCAAACACCCTTTTTAACTGAATGATGTAACATACAATATTTTTTTTCAAGACAGATTTTTTTTATTTTTAACATTTGGTTTAACTCACAGCATGGTCCAAATTGTTCTTTGGGTTGTTTCTGTGGCACATACATGTACCAACTTTGAATAAAAGGCCAAAGGTACAGTCCCAGCAGAAAAAGCTGAAGAAAACACCAGCTATTAGTGGAAAGTACATTTCTCAGTGACCTAGAGAGATAACATGAGGGGTCAGAAGGCCAATTGAAAGAATCCTTTCAAGGGATTAAGCTGAGGATCAGTAAATTATAGACATGCAAGATCCTGGTGTGACAAAACATTTCTATGTAGTTTTATCACCATAGCTTTAAACTAAATAATGGCATATAAATATTCTAGGAAACAAAACTGCCAGAGTTAACTAAATATGCTAGAGATGGGGAGAGTGCTCTGGAGGTGCCAGAAGCAGTGTCAGAAGAGGAACAATGACTTCCTAACATATCCAAAGGGTCAGTAGCTAGTAATAAACCATTTTAAATATGGGTCCAACAGACGCACAATCTCTCTGGTACTTTTCCATCACATAATCGCTTTTCCTCATACAGCATTCTTCAGCTAAAACCTGCAATACTGGAGGAGTCAGTCTGACTTTTTAAATTATATGTTCACACAAATAAAAATATTTGTTGGTGAAAGATTTCTAGGGAATTGAGATTGGCTACATACCCAGCAAAAATTGCTAAACAAGGCCATATGTATTCATACAGCTGCACTTTCATTTTTAAGTCTCGCTGATGGAGAAAACACAAATGGTAAGTGTGTGCATTTGATTATGCAGAAGCCAATTTGAAGCAAACTATTTATGAAACATATCCAGTTTACACTGAAAGCAATTTGGAAAAATATAAGGGATACAGAGGGGTGGGGCACAGCTGCTGTTCTACACAGCCATCAGCTTTGCTTAACAGGGACTTTGTTTAGCAACACTGGCTGGATAAAACTTTCATACAAATATGTATTTTGCCAGCTTGGTATGTCTGATTGCCATGACCACAAAAGGCAGGGGAATCAGAAATTCAAAGCAATCTTTGTTCTTTGTTTTTAAGAGCTTTGTATTGCTAAACTTATCAATATTTACTATTTAATTCTTGATGCACTGATGCTGCCTGTAATTAAAACATGCCTGTAATTAAACCACCGTAACTGCTCTTGGTCATTGACTATTACACGTCTGAATCTAGATAAAAATTCAGGTTTCCTAATAGAATTAATTATATTCCCATAAAAGTTACTAAAAAAATCCCTTAAAACCTGGAAGTTGCACCTCAAGAAGTATAATCTGTGAATAAGCAAACCAGTGAAGCAGGCTCTGAAAATACCTGCTTTATGAACAAGGTAGAAAAAAAAATTCTGCACCAATGGTCTGTGCCTATCACACATCATTTACTTTGAAACTCTCCACATCCATTCAGATTTTCCCCACTTCATGATGCCAGATGATCTGCTCTTAGTACAGTATCTGGGTATGAAAACCACACTTTTCTCCCTTAAGTCACCATGCACCAAACTGCCTAATTCTGAGATTGGTTGATGGCTAGTAAAGGCTTTGACTGAAATGAGAACATTTTAAACTTTGATCACCTTGTACCAGCCCCTGAAGTGCTGTTATGCCACCAAAAACTGGCAGCATGCCTATCTCTTTCCCTCACTGCTCCTGAATCACATATCTAGTGCCAAGGAACCCAGCTGCCCAGCCAAACAGTTTTGGGCTAGCAGGCAAACGCACCGGGCTAGAGGATCTGACAGTCTGTAGAATTAGTTACACTAGTGGAAAGCAAGAGTAAATACTGCAAATTTAGGGTAATAACTTTGAGGCCCACTTTGCACAGAGGTAAATGACAACATCACCAGTAAGGCAGACGTAAATTAGACTTTGCGATTTCCCAGATGGAGCTGCACCTTTTTACAATAAATTTCACAGCATGAACTGCTAGCTGCCTTCTACCTTTTGGGAAGGTAATGATGAGCTTCTTTCAGGGGCCTCACTGCTCTAAATCTTCAGCAAACAGTCACAACATGCAGAGTTGTCAATTACATACTTGAGTTAGTCTACATACAGAGTAGCACTAAGTACTGAAACTGGAATATTACTAACACACAGCTCAGCTACAATTTCATTTGTATATGGTGTTACTAGAGTAATTTCAGTGTCAGTAAATATTTAGTTGTCAAAGTATGGATTTCCTAAAAGTGCTGTATCCAGTACAGTAGAGGCTAAGAACATGGAGAAGTATGTCTCATCATGGAAAAAAACTTAGCCATTATCTGCAAGACTAGCACAGATGCCTTGAATCTCTCACTCTCTTGTTTTGCCAGTGTATTTCGTGCTTTCGTGGAAAACAAAGCACAATCTGGGCAAGCTCACTGGTAGACTTTTTCATTGCTGAAATAAAATAGTGGGTTGTGGAAAATGTTTTTTCTTTCTTCTTTATAAACAATGAAAATATAATTTAAAGAAAATGGAAGATAGCACTGAAAAAAAAAAAAAGACAGAAAAGTGGTAACACTGAAGGAAAGACATAGGGGGGAAAAAAGATGATCATGAAATGAGATAGAAACTGAGAGTCTGCAGAAGGGAGAGCAAAGGACACTGTAGGTGACCTAAAGAAGGACCAAGAACAGACTGCCAAGGAGAAAAAAAAAACAAACAGGAAATAATAGGGAACAGGGCAGAGAAGGTATTTACAATGGGACACAACAAGGTTCCTGATGCAGTGAAGATGCTGAAGAAAAGGCAGAAGAAAATGTAAAGCTATCCCTCAGCTTTGTCTTCATCAATCATGTGCTGTCAAACTGGAAGATATCCATTTTACATTCTTAGTGTCTTTGTTACAAAAGGAAAAATAGTTAATGTATAAGTGTTCAGCCTGCCTGAAGAAGAAATCAAGGTGGGCCCTCTAACTTATTGGGCAAATCAGAGCCTGGCTCACTTCAGCTGAATTACCTGGAAAAGGCACTAACTCTTCCTCTGAAATTACTTGCTGTTTTCCTGTCATATACATATCAGAATTTAGAGCTTTTAATGTTAATGTTGGTGTTAATCAAAAATTTGCTTCCCTTCACATGTAACCATCCATTCCAATGCACCTTTAGAGTATATACAGGCACATGTATCTCTCAATACACATATAAAAACGTAAAATAGTGGTCCATCTCTTGCTGACTACATGGCCCAGCATGAAAGACGAGGCCATTAGCAGTAAACATAAGCCGGAGTTTATCGTCCCACCCCAAAGAATACAGGAAGGGTATCACATGACTAACAACAGGAGGGATAAATAAATCGATATGTTCACTCATGGTGCATGACAACAACGGAAGGGATAAGACGAGCTAGAAACCAAGTCATCAGTCTGATTCCAGCCATACCAAAATCACTATTGCCAGAGAAAAGCATCATTACATACGTAACCCTCATTCTGTCCTGGTCTTGATCTTGTCCCGCCATTGCTGGGAACTCTAGTTGCATTGGACGGTCAGGGAGCCCTTCCAATAACAGGAAACCCTACACAGTGCTTCCAGTACATAGGTAGGCTTCCACCATTCACTGCAGGAAGAGCCAGCTTTGATGCTGTTAAATTTAGAGGCAGGACACCTGGTGTTAATTTTCTTAATTGGTTTCCACCCAAGGTTGACCAGGCCTTGAAAGAAAACCAAGAGGAAGGTCACCTGCCTGGTTGTGGGCATCATCCATACGTCAACCTTGACTCAGGGCTTGGGATTTAGACCCTAGCACTTCACTGTATTAATAGTACTACATATAGGCTCAAAAATAAAGACATCACTTATATATAAGCAGTAGAGGCAGATCTAGAAAAAAAAGAAATAAAACACAGAAAACAGGCAGAAAGCTACCTTCCAAAATCTTCAGTCTCTATGCTTCAACTCTTAAAGATAAGGTGAAAAAAAATGTAGATCCCTCCATCCTTTTAGGGACAGATAAAAGGAGTATTACTTCAAAGCCTTTATATGTAGGAGTACACTAACTCAAGGACCTCCATTTCAAAAAATTTGGAAAATCTTTTCTTTTTTTTGCTCTTGTGTCTTCAAGATGATAATTTCCAGCATTCATTAAAATCCACTTTTGTAATGAAATGGCTGATCAAAAGCATTTGTCTCCTTAGAATGAAATAGGTTTGCCTGGCATTGTAACTCACCTTTCAGAAATATTAAAAAAGTTACTACTAATGTTTTGGACATTTTGGAGATTTTTCTGAAAAAAATGTCATAAATAGTTAGTTCCATGTTTTCCAAAATTAATTCAATAAAACTGGGACTATTATACTGAAATTTTAGAATGCTGAGAATACAAAGTTCATCAAAGACATTCAGCATTTCTAAAAATTGAGAGTATGTTCAAATAGGCTTGTGCTGCACTTAATGTCTCTTTCCTTTTCAAATGCAATATGTATAGGAAAATAACTGACAAAACTCAAACATGATGCAGTAGAGTAGGGTGTTTTTTTGGGTTGTTTTGTAACTACTCATGAACATAAAGGGAAAACAGATTCCCTTGATGGAAATGTCTTTGATAAAGTGGTATAGCTATACTGTCTTTGCCTTTGTTTGGGAGAAAGAAACAATTTGTATTCTTCTGTTGTTTTAAGGAGCTAACAAATAAAGTAAAACACTTCTATCATATCACTTTCAGTAATTGACTAGAGCCATGGTTGATTTAACACCTCTGAAAAACAACAGTGCAAGAACATGCACATTTTAAGAGCATCTGACACTGGCTCTCTATAGGCTACCATTATTTACCAGTTCTGTAAGGATGCTATTATTTTGCCTGTACGTACTAATATAAACCTGTTTCACTGAAAGCACAATTTAACTTCAGGAAAATCTGTGAACTAATGCTTCCCTTAATTAATAATAACTGTACTGTAAGGTGCAAACTAGCAAAAAAAAAAAGAATTACCACCATCCACAAAGCCAGTTGTTAAGGAGAAAAGGAGTACATTACACACAGTAACACAGAAATAATGCTATCAAAACAGTTGCTGCAGTGGCACATTTTACACTCTATCCACATTCTATTCTTCTTACCTATCACTCCTTAATGTTACTTAATGAACAGAGTAAGTTTAAGATGAAACATTGACAGATTCTCTGGTAAATTACAGTCACTTCACTTAGCAGAAACTGTCATTTAACAAAAAGGATTTACAGAAATACTGGACTCAGAAGATTAGTAAGTAACAGTGTATTTATCAAAACCAACATTATGTAGTGGTAGTAAAAAAGGTGCACATCTCAAATCTCGCTACAGAAAGAAACCCAAAGTAGAATAAAGACTCACACATATAATGTATTTTACATACAAAATATGTAAATCTAAAATAAGTTCTTCAGTGTTGTTTGATGATGGAGGCCTGATGCCAAAAGCAGCACCTCTTACACTGAATTTCTGTATGACCATTCTCATAAATCATTTATACAAGTTGAGCAACCTAATTCCCAACTGAATCCATTTTAGGAGCTCTTAGAAGCTGAAGACTCAGAAATATTCAGATCATTCACTTACAAACATCACGCAAATTACTGAAAGATGTTGCCTAGATTAATTTGTTCCTAAGCACTCCAACACAATCCGTGCAACCATAGGCACATCACAACTATCATACTTCAAATTTTTCCATGTTCTATCTCTTCAGTGAAATCTGGACATGCCAACCTTCCTCACACTACTGTGAGTTCACAACAAGCAACTGATATTACCAATATTTTCCATCCTCTCCATGGAAGGACATATAAGACAAAGTATTTATGCTCCCTCATATCAAAGACTGTTTAAATGTGATGAAGGGATAGGATGAGCTGAGAGGCAATGATACCTGCAACTTCAGTCTCAGCCCCATCTGCAGAGAGCCTTAAAAGTGAGCTGAATCAGGTCAGTCCTTTTGAGCCTTATGTGCACCACCCCTCTCTCATGGTTTATTTAGGAGAACATGCCTGGACTGAGTCCTAGGATGCTGGTTCAAGCACAGCTCCTTCTATCTACACCCTGCAGTTAGGGGATCATCCGAAACTGAACTTGGCAAATTTTCTCCAAATGGGTAAATAAAACCAGTAGACTTGGAAAGTGAGCATGCTCTCTAATGGCTAAACAACCTCAAAGGGTTCTGTACACTATATTAAAACTAAGCATCAAGGAAATCACACTCGATTTCCAACTATGAATTTTCAGTCAAGCCATACAAAGTATCATTAAAGCCAAAGAAAATTAAATATCACTTGCATTACTGATGCCACAACTATGTGATCCCAAGATGTTATTTAATAACTACATCTGCTCTTTTCTTTCACTAAAATATACAGATGAATTTGAAGTTCAGAATGTAAAGTGTTGAGAACTTTCAGCCTGGATCTTCCCTACTATGGATATGGAGACATATTCCAGAGAAAGTATCTTAGGGAATATCAAATTGTGCTGCTTGACAGTTTAATTTTACATTATTTGGCTAGCCATTTACTTTTATTTACTTAATTTATCATCTCAAGAGAAACAATGACAGAAAAAGGTACACTGGGAATTATCAAGCAAATAAAATTACACTTGAATTAACAAGCTGAAATTAGCTAAGTGATTTGTTGTGCAGCTAATCATCCTTGATGAAATCAGCCTATACTAATTTCTCAGCCTCAAAACCATTAGCACCAATACATTTCTACATACTGGGAATTTGCTGGATCCTGTGCACGACCACAAATGCATCTGAAAGTCCCACTTTCACTGGGTGGTTGGTTGAACTTATCTGTGTCACAGCAACAGGAATCTGGAAGACAAAGCAGGAAGATATGTATGAAATACCAACATAAAAAAATTCAGACTAAAAATAATAGCACTGCGAGAATGAACATTTAACCAGTTTAAATTAATCTCCTGTCTACTTTTGAACACAAACTGTGAAAATTCAGTAGAGATCAAGATTTTAAAAGCTTATGGCTCAGTTAACTTTCAGTGAAAGGTGTTTGAATAGCTATCTGAGGATAGCTCTGGCCCAATGATACTCATGTTTTTTGTGTCTTGGAACAGCAGGGAAATTAGCAATGCCATGGAAAACATGGAAGATGCCAGATGCTTACTTGCCAATATCTGGACGAAGAAATAAAAAGACTTAGATAGTCATAGACCAGTCCAACTTCACATAACAGAAATAATTATGTTGGGCAACACAGTGGTATGACAATAGGTGTCAAGTTTGATTTAATTCTTTGGGCAAGATTGCAGCTTTTGCTGATATATATATAGATGTAATAGTTTTAGAATTTGGTAAGGTGTTTGGCTTTAGTGACAGGTAGCATTTACACAATATTAATAGAGATAACTAGACTGACTAATCAGAAACAGCAGCCATCACTAAAGAAGCAGCTCAGACTGACAGCGTCTTTTTATACTTCTTGCTTCTCCGGACATCAGACCTAGTATTCAAAAGCTTTATTAAAGACAGGGAAGGAAATAAATTTACTGCCTAGCAGTTCTGCAGATAACACTGGTAGAGTGAAAATAATGAAATACCTGGATCAATTAACAAAGCTAGACCTTGGAAAAACTGTAAAGTTATAACTCAGAGGAAAAAGGTCACAAGATAGAGGTTTGGGGACCATGTTCTAGAGGGCAGCAGTTCTGGAAGGAATCTCAGTATTATAGTGGATGAGGAACTCCAGATGTCATAAGAGACATTGCAGCAAGAAAATTAATTGATTTGGTATTCAGTCTAACAGTGAGATACAGATTAGTAGTGGGATGGCCATTTTACTCGTATCTGCACATTAGATCATTACTGCAATGTTACACAGACTTTGGTAGGATCTATTTCTTAAGAAGATGTGGAAAACTTAAGAAATGAGTCATAAAAATATTTTGAAAAATTTGCAGTTCTCGAACGCAATGAACAGAAGAGTTGAAGAGCTCTACCTATTTGGCTTCACAAAGGGAAACTGGAAAGCTGGCTAGATTACCATAAAAAAAGTACTGCCACAGGGACAAATTACTCAGAGGCTAAAGAGTTTTTTCATCTAGCACAGAAAGATAAAACCAGCAGTTGGAAGATGCAGACAGATACCTTCAAAGTAAAATAAGTCACATGTTACTATGATTGAATATTATTAAATGCTGGGATACTCTACCAATGGAGATTATTCTCCACCCATTGCTGCTTTCAGATCACAGCTGGATATCTTATTTTTCAAAGCTGTCCTTCAGCTAACAAGAAATTACTAGGCTGAAGACACATGAAAGTGGATCAAGTGTAAGAAACTGAGATATAAGGTGCTATCTCAGTGCATCTAATAGTCTGCTCTGGCTTTAACTGTTTAGAACCACCACAATTATACTGATGGTCATTTCACATAGCAGAAAAATGCCAAAGTAAAAAGCTGGTTACATATCCAGTGAATGAAGAATCTGTATTGTCTACATGTCAATTAATGGTGTGACTTCTAGTATTTGAGTTGAACATTAGTAGTTGTCTCCCTTGTTCCCAGAGTATCATTTAGCTGTGCTTTTTCCTAATTACACTGGCAGCTGTCTAGGAAAAGTTAAATTTGAGAGTATTAGCAGAAGAAGTGAGTTCTAGTGAATTAAAGAGTGCAATAAATTTCCATTTCTTTTACTTGGTGACTGGTTTAGCTGACTTATTTAGAGGTTCTTGCATACATGATCTACTTTGGTATAACAAAAGTAATGATGCTAGACTAACATGAAAAACAGAAATGGCTTGGAAATACTGCTAGTAATACATCAATTTAAATTTTTCTTATCTTAGCTCGGATGCAGTTATTGGAGAATATGACACAAGAAGGTTGAAAGCCATATTTTCAGTCTTCAGATAAGAGACTCAATGAGTTCAGATATAATTCAGTATATTTTCTCCATCATGAAAGTATAAATAAAGGAATTAGTCTCAGAACGCTGTAGAGCAAAACTTATATTAACTATCAAAGAGTAGGTCTTAAAAAATTTTGAGAAGGATACTCTAGAGAAGTTGTTGAAAAATCAAATAAGAAAGAGCACTGATGAGAAAGATGCAATGACTATTTCTCTTGCAAGTTAGAGAGAAAACAGCAGATGAAGAAGGAATCAAAGTTTCACGGACACAAAACGTAATTGGAATTGGCATTATGAGTAAGTGTGGGACCAAAAAAGCCTCCTTAATTTTAATTTTAATGCTTTATCACATTTTTTTCTGAATTTGTGAATAATTGAACAATTTGCATATTTCCCTCAAAAATTATGATAACAGAAAACTATTTTTTCCTTCCCCCCCCTGCTCCCAGACAGAGTGATGATGGGTTCTTGCAATACAAATGCCACAAGTGCTTTATTTTTTTTTTTCTTTTAATAAATTTCATTACAGCTCGGTTCAGAGTTTGAAAGTTGCTTTCAGTTTCACTATTTAATAAAAATTATAAATGACTCAGTAATATCTGGTACTAAAAAAGGACACACTAGCCAAGTTGAACAGAAAAATACAAAGAAAACTTTAGGAGAAATTTGAAAACTGTGGGGCTGAAATATCTCAGTAGATTTTGCCAAAATCCCTGCAGATATCCACACTCTTCTGCTGGACATTCTAGTGAGAGTGAAGAACCTGGAGATAATTTTCTAAAACAATTAAGAAAGTTTTAGTAGAGTCCACCCTAACAGAAGAACCAGCCAAAATTTTGGATATATGTTTTAGGAGTAGGATTTAGAAAGAACTCTTTGTTTAATGTGAGGAAAACATAAGTTAGTATAGCCAGCTCTTCAAACTGTATCAAACAATCATACAGCCAGAAATGCTGTCATAGCTTAAGAGAACCCATGACCCAGGAAAACTTTCATTCTCTTGAAAAACTACAGCGTTATTAAACCTGCATTTACAAAAACTTCTTAAGCCAGTCTATTGCTGACTGCATGTCCCAGTAGGAAGGCCACTGTCATCGATAGGAATCACACAGGCCAGACCTTTCCATCCCATTCTAAAGTATACAGGGAGGATATGAGGTGGCTAGCAACCAGAGGAACAAATAGATCGATGCATTCACTCACTGTCTATGATGAAGTAAAGAAAGGAGTGAGATGAGCCAGAAACCAGGCCATGGGGAAGGAATAAGCCAGGTCCTCAGTCCAAATCCAATCTTATAGTAATTGCCAAGTAGCAGCATCAGTACATACACGATCCTTTTTCTGTCCTGATTGTGGTGGCTTGCCACCTCTGGAAACTGTTTGTAGCAGACAGTCAGGAAGCCCTTCCAACAACTGGAAACCCTACATAGCACACCCCCTACACAGATAAACTCACTACAAGCAGAGCCAGACTTTATTCTGTTAACTTTAGAGGTGGGACACCTGATGCTAGTTCTAATGGCAGGGGACCTGGTGTTAATGTCCTAATTGGTTTTCACCCAAGGTTGGCCAGACCTTGAGAGAAAACCAAAAGGAAGGTCTCTCCTACCTGGTTGTGGACATTATCCACATGTCAACCCTGATTCAGAGCTGGGGGTTTAGACCCCTGCACTTCAGCCAGGTAATAGCCAGGGGATGAGATACTGGACCTGATGGTCACCAATGCAAGTAAGTTAAATGGTGACATCAAGATTGGAGGTAGCCTGGGTTGCTGTGATCACACACTGGTGGAGTTCACAGTCCCTGAGGGCTATAGGTCAGGTGAGGAGTAAAATCAGGACGATAAATTTTAGAAAAGCAAACATCCAGCTCTTCAAGGAGTTAGTCAGTAGGACCCCCTGGAAAAATGTCTTCAGGGACAAGGGAGCAGAAGAGAGCTGGCTGATCATTAAGGATGCTTTCCATATAGCACAAGAGCTCTCTATCCTCAGGTGTAAGATATCAGGAAAGGAAGACCAACATGGCTGAGTTGAGACCTGCTTGTCAAACTGAAGGGCAAGAAGGAAATGCACAGACAATGGAAGCATGGACACCTGAATTCTCACCTGAATGGCAAGATATGTCATGACAGGCTGACATATCAAACTGTTAAACAGGAAGCCAGCAACGTACAAGTGGTTACTGTTGGGTGGCATGTATTTTATGGGATTACGTTCAGAGAATGAATTTCAACTAGAATAATTCCAAAGTCTGTGTTAGCTCTACCACAGAATGTACAATGCAGGCAGAATATCTATGAAGAACATGTGTTGCTTGTTGGGGCTTTTTTTTTTAGTTTTCCAGAAACAATCACAATGTTTGGAGTTTTATTACTAAACCAAGACTATTTTCTATGATGCATAGCAGGAATATCAATTTTATCTATGTACTAGCACTTAATACTTTCTATTAAATTCTTCCTCCTTTCACAGTAGAAAAAAATTCTTCTATGAGTCTTTTTTAGAATTATTTTCCAACTTCACATATCAAGCACTTTGAACAAGCATTACAACTTTAATAATAGTTTCTGGATGACTACATAAATAGACAGTCATTACTATTTAAATGAACAAAGAAAGCCCTGAAGCTAATGAAATTAAGAAAAATATCCTAAACCACTAAAAAAGCCTTTGGTACTTTTGCCTAATTTGCCCTGTATTAATCATGGACAGAAAAAGAAGCCAAATGTTACCCTAAGGAACATTAACTATAAGCACTAATGAGAAAAGGCTATGTAGAATAGTTATTTTGTTCAAAAAAAAGTAAAACTCTTGAGAATTGAACTTCTGTGAAATTTAGAACATAAGAAATGAGTATTCACTACTAATACATTAAAAAGTACGCCTATATGGAAAATTTTCTTCATTACTGTGTTTTGTTGGCCAGTTTGCACTGTAATATATTTCATATGTAGTAGAGGTGCACCAGTAAAATTTTCCTGCCAGCTGATATTTCCTGACATATCGACCACTTGTCAGAACACTAACAGCTGGCATAAGCTAAGTGATATTTAAAATGGAAGGTATATGAACTGTAAACAAAGTGGTAAAAACCCCCAAGCATCTGACTTGCTATATTTCAAATTGCATTTACATTTTGAAAACCTGACTGTACAGCCTCCCCTCCTACCCATTAACTCTTCTGAAACATAATCTGGTGTCTCCAGATTTCACTATCCTGGTGGTTCAGAACTTTTTCTGTGTTTTTTTTTTTGTTTTTTTTTTTTTTTTTTCCCCAGAATCTCTTCTGGATTTTGGATAACAATTATGCATTTCAGACTGCATCCTATTTGCAAACAGAACGCAGAAGATTGTGCAGAACAGCTCCTTTGATACTCAGCAAACCTTAACCAAGAGCCTGCTTTGGTGGTCAGCACCAGGTTTATCAGGAAGCAAGGTAGATGTGAGAACAAGAAGTGTATGAAAAGAAGCATCTCAAATGGTTTGAAAAAATAAGAAATAAAAGGCAAAATTTACATGAAGTGCTTTAGACAAAAGTCCCTAATTGTACCTCCCTTACATGTATAATCATAGTTATTTTAATAGTAGATTCTTCAAGATAAATGCCTGGTGTCACCAGTACAGAACTCCTGTGGGATGCTTCAAAAATGCTTTATAAAGTTACTGGAAACCTGTGTGCTGCGTTTCTCACATGGTGTTCCAGCTTGGAGACTTGCAATGACAATTCAATGAAGACCTTGCATTTGCAGTGGTTTTAAGTGAACTGTGATGCTGAAAGGAAATGGCACCAAAAAGATGTTACAAATCTTGTGCCACTTCTACTCATACTAGTGAGCACACACACAAGTAATCTTACTGAAGTTAATGGGGCTCCTGACAACTTGACTTATCAGCAAGAGAAATGGTCCCAGAAGGAAGGACTTCCTCAGAAACTAATGGATTTAGCACTGGAAAGTAAGTTGATTCCTAGCCAGACTTAGAAGTTCTGTAGTCGAAGTTAAATTTACAATTATCTCAGTTTTTCTTTTCATGCAACTTGTGTCTGATCAGTGATTGGAAATTTTATTCAGTTTTCCTCATTTAAGTGGAAAGCTGAGGTAGTTTTAGTGGAGTAAAAGCTGCAAATAAAGAGTTTAGTCTTCTGGAAATCTCAGCCTCCAAATCCTTTCCCCAAGTAATTCCCAATGGGATACACTAGTTGTAACATTAAAATTTTACAGAAATCTTTTGTCAAAGATCTACAGAGCACTAGTATGTTACTATTACCACTTAAAAAAAGTCTTTTTCCTTAACTTTGTGTAATATTCTAAAGTGATGTTTGGTAATTCCATTCCGGACAAGAATAACTCATGTCAGGGAATTTCAAGAATTCCAGTGCAAAAAAAAAATGCATATTATCCCATTTGTAAATTCCAATTCTTTGTGTCTCAGGATTAATGACAAGATGATTAATAGCTTCTCCCTACAAAAGCACTGTGGCTCTGGAGAAAGCTTCCAGTGGTGCAGTGAGAGCAAGCAGCCTATGACATTGTAGCACAGAAATTATTTATCCACAGGTTAAATTACATGCTTGCATGCAATTCCAGGAAACAAAGTGAACCATTTCCTCCCTTCTTCCTAAATGAATAAAGGTTGCCACTGCCTGGGACTCCACATCATCATTTACATTTATGTAAAATGAACACATGATACTATCAATATGCAGCAACAGCTTCTATCACCCATATTAGACTCATGTTGCACAGGGCTGGACAGTGGCAGACAGGGCAGAGCATCACATAACCAAGAACAGTACTCTTGTGAAAATGTCCCTAAATATATTTCAGAATGCACCTATAGTTCTTGTCAAATTTATCTTGAAATGACAAATTGGAATAGTTGCCCTCCCTATTTCTCTGGGTTCTTGAAGGAAATAACTTTCTGGCAGTCTTTAAAAAGATATTTCTTTTTCTTTAAAAAGTTTCAGCAACAGGAGAAAAGAAAAAAGCTTTGGTGCACACTCCTTCGATCAAGCACAGGCTCCACTGTTCTAAGTAGAGTAAACCTTTCATGAAGTTGGAGTCAAAATGCAAATAAACTGCACTTTCATAGATGAAGAACTAGCCTGTACATACCATTCAGAAACAGAGCCTAAGCAAACCTTCCATCGGCATGTCTTTTATTAAATAAGGAAAGCCAGGTACATGGGCATACCAGAAAGATTCTTGCATCTATAAAACTAATCCAATAGGAGTATCCTGCAGCAATCCTGTTTGAAAGACTTCTATCTTAGGTGAAGATAAGACTGCTGCTAGTAAAATAACCCAGCTTTCTAATGGAGGGGAGAAGAGTACTACATTTCTGCTGCATTCAGCTGTGTGTCTTCAACGTAGGCATGAAAAATGAGTGTGAAGGCTCACAACTGGCCTATGGCAGAAAAAGAGAACTGGTATTTCTCCAAGTTCAGACAAACAGTCACATCACTGATAGCATTTTTTTTTTTTTTTAAATAAGGAGTATAACAGAGATTTACACCCTGAAGAGAAAGTCAACACTTTGCATGTGAAACTGAGATTAAAACAAAAACAACAACAAAAAAAAAAAAAAAGAAAGAAAGAAAGAAAGAAAGAAATTGTCCTCTTGCCTCTAGAGATTTGAACTTACATACCTTCTGATTCTCATTTGCACGAAATTCAACTTGAGGTATAGCCTCTAGGCTACAGCCTCCAGGACACTAGCAATTCTAGCAAGAAAAAAAAAAATTACCTAAAGTGACAACCAAAATTCTGAAACACTTGAAGAATGCAGAAAAACCCAGCTGAGATGGCAACATATTGGTATTATAAAGGCAAACCAAATGGCCTCAATCTAACCAGTGTTATCACCAAACAGATGGAAAACAACATAGAGCTAGAGATACAAAGCAGTTATTTCTTATTTGAAATATATGAACTTTGAAATAAGTTGGTTGCCAAGAAATTATAGTTCCTGGAAAAAGGTGACCTTTTCATACTAACGATTGATTCTAGAATATTTTCAAGCAGGTCCACATTAGGTGAACGAAATGAGCAATTTAGACCCTATTTTCAAAATCCAAGAGGAATTTACTAAAAAACACAAGAACTTCCTAAATACTCAACACTTACCCCCACTCAAAAAAGGCCAATTGAAAGTCAGAAGTAGCATATTTGAGCCATGTTGATGGTTTTCAAGTCCATCACATGAACATCAATTTTACAATAACGTCATTTTTAACAAAATGGTGATTTTATAATCAATATAACGAAATGATCTTTTATTGCTGAACTTTCAAGTCTCCCACCTCAAAAATGTAGGGAGATGCCTGGCAGATATAAAGTAATTTATCTACTTAAAGGACAATTTTCAGACCAAACTTACTTCTTTGTAGCCGAAAATGATACGCCCATCACTGAGAAGGGTGGCCTGAAAAGTGAAACTGCCCAGGTTGTAATTATCCTGCAGATGTACATGGTCCCACTGGACAACTAGTGCTGTGCCTGTGAACCCCAGAGTGGGAGTAGAAAGGCAAAGGGAAGAAAAAAAAAATGTGAGAAAAAAGATTAACTGACTGTAGGAAAAATATTCAACTGTAGTTACTTGAAGCAAGAACTGTGATTTGTCTCTTAGCAATTTTCAGCCCAACATCTTGAAATGCCAAAGACATTACAAACACAAGTGGCAACTGAAATCCTCTTAAAGGTAGACACTACAGTGCCACAAACAACTACCTCAACTTTCTACAAAAAAAAGTCTGCTAACACAAGAGTGGTCAAGTAACTTGTTTGGAATTGAATAAGGAGTCAACAATCACTAAAGGTAGGATCCAGCACTCAGAGTTCAGGTATGTTGTCATAACCACTGCTCTGCAGTAGCTTTTTTTACACTATATATATATACAACCTAATGACTTAGAAATGTGAAGTGCTAATAGCATTGCCTGTTTAGGAAAAGTTCTAATTTGAAGAATTCAGATTCTTCAGTTTACTAGCCATTAATATAAATAGCACTTTTTTTCTGCATGGTGGAAGCCCTTGCTGAGCTTCTGCAAGTTGAAAAATATTAGGTGTTGGCAATAAATAAATGTAGTTTAAATGAAAACCACTAAGAAATCATAGACAGGGTAAATATTGAGTCTGGTGTGCAGAGATTTACTTGCAAGAGGCTTGTTAATATTCATGGAAGTACTCTGGCTGAATATCCACTTATTGCACTAAAAATGTACCCCAAGCAACCTGCACACTCTGTGAACATGCTTTAGAGATGTTGAGGGTTATTTTCAAGCAGCTGGTCTGAAAGACACTTATAACAAAACTGTGTTTACCGAAAATGACTTTTTTGTCTTTAGATGCCTTTCTCAACATACCTCTCTCTTTGGCACTAATGGAAGTTACGTGCTTTGATTCACAATACTTTAATTCCATTTCTTTCTGGAGTGTTCAAAGTGGGTCAGTATGCATCCAGCTCAACGCAATTTTTGACATATCCTTGAAATATCTTTTGTCACAGATCTTCTGTGCTGTAACTTTCATGAACACATCTTGGCAGGGGATGTCATGAAAATATGAGCATGCAGACTTTTGGTGCATACTGTACTAAGTCCACCACATGTCTTTCATAAGAATAGTGCATACTCATTAATTGTGCATACAGTGCATTTTTCCTTTTGTGACCACATTCCTTAACTACTTTCTGAATATTTAATCGGTTGTATTACATTTCATTTTAAAGGAATTTAAAGGGGCTTTTAAAATTATTGGAGCAAAAATAGTCAGAATTTCTTACAGTCAATCATTGAGTACATCATATCTATGTACATCTCAGAATCCCAAGCTAAACTGGAAACCAGTTGTCTCCAGAACGCATTCTGTGCTTGCCCACTACAGATGCCTCTCTAAAGCAAGCACACTTATTCACAGGAATAAAACATGGATAAATAAGAAATAAGAAGCTGAAGATACAATTTGCCCAGTTCCTTTTTACTTGGGGTAAGATAGCAAACTCTTTGTCCTAAAGCACATGGGGTCCAATATATGGGGTGCCTTATACATGAAGAGGGATCCAAAATCTCAAAGTTTTCAACATTGTCATGAAAGCTATATGATACAGCCTCATACACCTGGTATGAAGACTGGAAGTCAGGAATACAATGAGAATTAGCAATGTCTTCCCCAGAATCCTCAGATTCTTTCAGCAAAGATGACAAATCTCAGGCCATAATGCCAAATTATTTATGAAATGAAAATATTTTTTCTTCTGTTTGAAAATTCTCCATGCAAGGAGTAGGATTTTCTCATCTAAGTCTATTTTACTGGATTTTTGACAAATAAATGCTGCAAGTAATGACTAGACTGAAAGGAAAAGTTATGACTAGGTGCAAAGGGTTTTTTTTTGATATTTTGATCCCTGATGTAAAGAATAAAAATTAACAGACCTGCCTGGAAATGTGACTTATTCTTTGACATGTTCATTATTTGTGCTTAAACTCACTATGAATAAACATACAGGGAATGGCATAGGTTTATCCAGAAAGATTTAAAACCATAAAATCACATGATTAGTCAGTTACTAAAATAAGTTTAAAATTCCGAATAGACACTCACTGCCACTGTATTTGATCACTAAAGGCCCAAGTTAAGGCACCAGATGCCTTTTAATCACATAGGTACTGTTTTCAAAATGCTCATTATAACTGACTTCATGAGACAAATATCCACACATCCAAGGCCTTTGAAATATCTTCCAGTCCTGGGACACCATGCACACTTACTCATTGACAGATTTATTAACCTTCGATCTGCTCTGCTTCTGTGTATTCTTGCTATTTCAGCCTTCAAATGCTATTTTCACTTTAGTTAGTGGGTGGACAGTATTTGCTATATACATTTTGAAGTAACAGGAATCTGTATTATCATAGAGGACAGATTTTTTATTTTAAAACAAAAAAAATATATTGCTAGTTTGAGTTTATGTACTTTAACATCCAGAAGATATCTGTCCAATCAGAAAAAAACATTAATAAATCATTAGCCATGTTCTAAATTCAGAACTGCTTATGGATGTCTAGTCACATGCTTGATATAGCCTATGAGTTTAAAAAAAAAGAATAGAGAAATTTTTAAAAAAATCTTCATTTTTTCCTAGAAATATAGTTATTTAGGCAAATATGAGGAGCCAAAGGAAACAGACACATTCATTTATGAAGTACTACTACATACCATTATCAAAGTATCTGACTGTTGAATTTCTTGACACACTGGGGTCAAAATTTGCCATTAAGGGTGCAATGTATTGTGTAGCTGTTAGCATTCGATGCACAACTTCTCCAGTATATATGAAACCTACAATAAAAGAAAATATTGAGACCATTTCAGTAACTTCTGAAAAGATTTAATAGAATGGCAGGTTGAACTAGGCATTGCCAGAGCAAGGGTCATCTAAGAGAAATTAATCCCACCACCGATTTTATAGTGAATTAAATAAGAGCCAAAATATTAAGAAAATGTCTGTGATGGCTGCCAAAAGAACAAGATCCAAGATAAGCAATGGAGAAATTAGTTCAAGAAACAAGTTTTCCAACAGAAATAAAACCAGAGCAAACTCCAGAAAGAATAACTCCAGTTATGGACAAAATGTAGATATGTGGCTTTATCAAAATGAGTCATTTACCACCATGCATGTTCCATAGTGTTTTCTATCCCTTCCAAATCTTCAAGTTGTTTTGCTTTTGCAAATTGTTGTCTCTTCAAAAGTTAGTCTAACTCTTTTTCATATTTTTAGAGACACAAATATGAGACTAGTTCAGTCAGATGAAGAGTGTAACAGATTTTATGGGTATAAGCCAAGCAGCATTTCTGTTACATTCTCTGCGGTGTCAGGTCTCACTAGTTGATCCTATTAATCTGTGAACCTGCAGTACTCCTCATACTAAGAGTGGGCTTCTTTCATCAGATGTGCTCACCCAAAATCTCTTGCTGGTTTGGAACAGGAGTTCTTCCTTAAGGAAGAACAGTCATCTACAGTGAATATAGTAATACTGCAGTTTTCTTCAAAACAAAATTTTGTGTATTTAATGGCAGGAACCCCTTGCCATTTTAAACAATAAATGGTTTACAAATAAACCTGTATTGTTTAGTTTCTCCCAAACCACTTCAATTAACTAACGGGTCTAATTTCTTTAGACGCCCCAGCCTAAAGCCCAACTTAAAAACTCCCACAGCTCTAGTCTTTTCTTAAGTTTTATTTAAACCTTTGCTTTGCTGATCAAAACTGATGAAAATTAAGCTGATTTGACCTACAGGTAGATCTTCAAAACTGAGGTTTGTATATTACCCCTTCTTTTAAAGTGTTTATCAGAAAATGCCTTATGCTGAAATGTTTACTTGTTCTGCTTTTATCAATTTAATTAAGTACATTCCAACAGGAAACACCCCAATAACAAGAAGAATACTGGAATTGGGTGAAAATTTTCTAACAGAAAAAGTTCTATTTGGAAAACATCGTATAGAAATTCAGTTCTCTACTGGCAAATGATAATATCTACTGCCACAGTATTTATGCTGGTTTGCATTTTCTTTTCCTTCATCAGTTGAATTAAAGGTCTTTCTTCTTCCACAGTCTTTCTTCTTCCACAACCCCTTTTACTGTCAAGCCCAAGATGTCTTTTCATCTCGCATTTAGTATCACAGCAACACAACATATGATGAAGAAACATAAACCTATCCCTAAGCCATGATTTTGAAATTCCAGAACTAAACACAAAATTAAAAATGGAATTACCCTCAAGATAGAAATACCACTTTCTAGACAGCTCCAGTTACTATTTGATATTAAAAACTATTAAAGTGCAGCACCACTTTCTTAATGGTAGCTAGTCCAATCTAACCACTGTGAGATCAGAGAAGTTTGTTAAAAGGTTTGTTTCAGATGATATAGGAAATCTCTGAGAGCAGGATAAAAACTAGTTTTTGGCATCCTTCTGTTCCTGTCCTTTCCTAAAACATTGGTAAATGCTCGCTAACTGTCTGTGGAACTAGCTCTAAATAATTAAATGTGATAACCAAACAAAAAAGGTCATTCTTTGGAATAATTTTTCAGCATGGATGCTAGCAGTTAAGATCAAGTACCATGAAGTTAATTCAAGTGGGGATGGTAGGAGACCTAAGAAAAAGCCTGGTGTGGAGAAAATACGACAAAAGATTCAGTTGGAAACATTTGGCATTGACAAAAGGGTGAGTTAAGAACCTAGCTGCCTTTGCTTCCTTTAAAACACACTTAGTATTCAAACAATACAGTATTTTAACATCTGAACAACTCCCAACCACTGAATTCATTCTTTGGACTAAACTACAACTGTTTTTTTTGTTTGTTTGTTTGTTTTTGTTTGTTTGTTTGTTTGTTTGTTTGTTTGTTTGTTTTTGTTTTTTTTTAGGTGGTGGTGGTAAGGGGATATTCTTTCAGTTAAATATCTAAATACCACTTTTCTCTTTTGGTAATTGATAGAGAGAAACATTGATTAAAAAAAAAAAAAAAATTCTGCCCACACATATTTACAAGTCAGGTATAAACCTCAAATTTTTGGAACATAGAACTGTGGCTGCAATTTTACTCTATTACTCATCATCTTAGGATAACCAAGAGTCCTCTCAAAGTATAGTCCCTGAAGTGCATTTTCATTATTTCTTATTTAGTTCTGTTTGCTTCTAAAATGTCGTTTCCTTGACAAGTATTCCCTAGTGCTTATTTAGACATTTTAAATACATACGATTTCATAGAATATTTGTGCAACATCATCTCTATGGTGATGTGTACATGTATTTTAACATAGGTCTATAACCTTGAAAACATTCCTCAAAAAAATTTTGAAGACAATATAAACAATACTTTTGAATCCATATTAATGTATTATAATTAAACTTAATACTTCAGTACTTATTCATCCTTTGCACAATAGACCTGTCCATACACAGTTTCCTTTTCATGCTTTCATCCCATTTCAGTATAAATGTCACTATTATAACTAATAATAAGACAGATACAATAGGAAAAGAGAAGAATGAACTTAATTGTGCTGGAACACATAACTAAATCAGCCCAGGTAGTTAGTAAACACAGAATATATTTCCAAGTGTTTGCCGGATGCAGCTTTACTTTAGACAAAAAATGGAAGGCAGGAGGTGGATGATAGCTGGGAAGCAGGCAGCCCTTGCATGAAGATCGTTCTAATGAGAACTGCAGTCATGCATTGGAACAACTTGAAAAGAAACACAAAGTCATTTCAAATCATCCCAGAGGTTCAAAGGCTACAGACACTGTTGAGCATGGACATTTTATCATTGCCACTACAACTTACAGAAAGCAGCAAATGCAAAATTAACTTCTTCCTGAATGGACTTCCACAGAAAATTGGCTTATACTATCTGTGACCTAATTTTCTCACAGTGGTAAATGTCCATGGTTGATTCATTTAGTCAAGGAAGAATTTTTCAGACCTGCAATTTCCTGAACCACTTAATCTCTCCTTTGTGGGGAGGGTTGGTAGAGCTCTTTTACAAAACTCTCCAACAAGTACTACACTGAGAAGTATAAAGTGCTCCTAAATACAGGGATGAAGAGAAATAGTAAAGAGTGATCAGCATTTTATAAGTTTTATATGTATATCTAACTAAAACTAAGGATGAACTAATACTAAAGCCATTTGTAAATCAAGGAGGGTATACTCCTAGTCCTCATAGTATTCAACAGCACACTCACACAGAGGGGAAAACTATACATATATAACCAGCTAAATATGAAAACACACTTTCACTTTATTTAAAACACATTTTACATCTGAAATTATCCATTGCAAAATATGCTCTATATCTGTTGCATTTTAACATATTAAATTTACATATAAGGTTTAACATGGAAGATTACAACTATCTGTACATAAGCTTTCTGTGGTTTCCTTTTTTTACTTCTAGCTCTGCACAAACTCAGTACAATTTCATAAAACTTTTGACAATGTTTGCCCACGATGCAGAAAAACGGAATACAGGTTCAAAGCAGCACAACCAATGAGTCATTTGAAGCTGCTATTGTGTGTTTATAAAGATATGATAGGATATAGGATATGGAGGCAACATAAAAATGAAACATCTAGGTTGGTAACTACCTTCTGCCTTCTAAGACCCTGCATGAACAAATTACATAAACCTCAGCTTGATTTTATAGGTGACATTATGACAAACTATTTTTACACTTTAGCATTTAGCTGAATTAAAACAAAAATGAAAACAAAAATTACAGTTTATCATTTCAAGTGTGATTTATTTTTAAATATCTGAAACAACCTGTCATATCTTAAAAGCATCATACTGAATACAAGGTATAAATAAATTATACTTCTATATGTTTGTGATGAGTAGGCTCCATTTTGAGATTACATATGTTAGATGCTCAGTACTTCTTTAAAACTATTATGACAGTTTAGTCTTTACCTATGTGGTAGTATTACCTTTGCAGCTGCCACATGCCCACCCAGCTGCGCTCTTACTCCCCTTCCTCAACAGGACCGGGGGACAAAATAAGATAAAAAATACTTACGGGTCCAGGTATGTGCAGGGAGAATAGTTTCTAATTAGTGTCAGGGGCAAAATAGAATTGACTTTGGGAAAATTAATTTAATTTATTGCCAGATTAAATAGGTTTGGATAGTGGGGGAAAAAAAGACAAATTAAAACAACACCTTCCCTCCATCCCTTCCTTTTCCCCAGGCTCAACATCACTGCTTCATTCCCATTTGACTCCTCTACCTCTTCCTCCCCACTGAACATCACAGGGGAATAGGGAATGTGGGTTGCAGTCAGTTTGTAACACTTTATCTCTGTCGCTTCCTCCTTCTCACATTTTTCCCTGATCCAGTGTAGGTCCTTCCCATGGGCTTCAGTCCTTTAGGGTAAACCTGCTCTAGCACGGGTCCTCCACTGGCCATGGTTCTTTCAGGACATGTCCACATTTCCAGTGCGGTGTCCTTCACAGGCTGCAGTATGGATATCTGATTCAGTATGGGCTCTTCTACTGGCTGCAGGGAAATATCTGTTGCAGCCTGCTCTCCTCCACAGACGCTTTGGTACCTGGATGATCTCCTCCTCCTTCTCTCCCCTTGACGTTCACATGCTTTTTCCCCTCACTCTTGACACTGCTGTACAACATTTTTCACCCTTTCTTTCAAATACATTTTCCCAGAGGTATCACCACCCTGGCTGATGGGCTCAAGTGCATCCTGCAGTGAGTCCATTGGAGTTGACTGGATCCATCTCTGTCTAAAGTAGGACAGTCACTCACATCCTTCTATAGA